TGTTTAAAATCATTACCGTATTTAAAATAAACCAAAATTATAATTATAACACAGTAATGTTGCAGAATATTTAAATCCAACTTAAACATATCATACAGTCCTATGAGATACTACTATGAGGTTCCCATACACCCTATAGCCTTTTTCTTTAATTTTCACATTTTGCTCTGTTTCACTGAGTTCCTTGCTTAAGCGAGTTTCTCAACGTGCAAATTGTGTTTCCTCACTTAAACATAACCCACTTTTGTATTTTAGGATCATGAACAAATTAGGGATTTTTATGATTTAAGAGTTGGAAGTTGAAATTGATGATAGTTTTATGTGTGTTTAATGATGGAGTATTGCACTTAGTGGTATCTTGGTGGAGAACCTACCTTTGGAGCACCACATCGGTCAAGACATAGCCTCTTGAACCTCTCAAGCATAGGGTAAGTTGTTGAACTTGAATTCTTAGTGAAAATATAGCTTCTAGCTTGATGTTATATATATATATATATATATATATATATATATATATATATATAGAGAGAGAGAGGAATGATCTGTTTATAAATTTTTTTACAAATTACACTAAGTATGACTAGTCATACATTCTTAATTAAAGTATGACCGGTCATACTTAGTGTAGTTTGTAAGAGTTTGTAAACAAAAAATTTGTAAATATAATATTTCCTATATTATATATATATTGTGATATATATATATATATATATATATATATATATATATATATATATTGTGATGTTGATTGAACCCACATCCTTGGAATAAGTGGTACTAGTGTGAAAGATTGGTGACTTTGTCTCTTGATTAAAAAAAAAAGCTTAGAAAAAAAGTCTCTAAGAGGTAAGCTTTTGGACCTTGAGATTAGTCTCATTGTTTGTTCCACCATACACTATGGGAGTAATGGTTTCTATGATTGATGTGTGTAATTGCATTGAAATATGATATGATGCATAATATGTGAATATGCTTTGTGTGATGTATAAGATGAAAAATGCCTTGTGTGATACATAATTGTGATGGTACCCCGGCCACGAGAATGTTTGTTTGATTAATGTCAAAGAAGGGGAGTCCGTAGGGACTCTTTTTCTAAAGTGCCTTGGGGAGGAGGAGCTCGTAGAGACTTCTCTCTAAGGTATGTATATTTGAACTTCCCTTGGAACCAATGAGTGGAGTAATTCCTTGTGATTAACAGTTGAGAAGGGGAGCCCGTAGGGACTCTTCTCAGAAATGCCATACGATTATTCCATAGATGGCAAGTTGGCCAATAGAGTGACTTTAGTGTGATTGAGATGCATTTGTAAGAGATATATGATATTATATTTGTTTTAATACTTATGCACCATAAGTGAACTTAAGGGTGGATGAATCCTCCAAGGACCCTTAATTTAATGAGATATTTCCCCGTGTTGAAAAATATATTTCAGGATCTCAAGGAGGTGGAGGAGCTAATGCTAGTAGAGGCAAGGAGCACACTTAATTCACAGGCACATTCTTATGTCATGATGTATTTTGAGGCACTTTTGTATAGCCATATTTATTTTGTATAAGCTTTGACATTCATTCATTGAGAAAAGGCTTGAAATTATGACATGTGTAATCCTTTTGAGTTGATAATGACCATTTGTAATTCTAATGCTCAAATGACATGTATTCGAGACTTATGATATTCCATATTGTGAATCAGGTATAAAACTGCATTTTGATATAATTAATGGCTTGAAGAGTGAACTTAAACATTACACTAAGTTCCAAGCCTAAGTACATATCACACATATCTTAATGTTGCTTTTGTATGAATGGTTAGAAATTATTTCTTCTTTTTTGGTGAAAGAAGTTGGACTATGAAATGACCTAATTTTTGTTAAAATTTAAATTTCTTACGTTATTTAAAGTTTACGCTGAGTTTCTCCACCAGTGAGAAAAGACTTTTATTGTCATTATTGTTAAGTTTACATTGACCCTCTATTATTAGTTTTTTTTTTATTGACATCCTTCTTCCTTGTGTACGGTAAGCATGGCTAATTAACTTGGATGGCTCTTTTTTGCTGATGTGATTGTCATCATTAATATCGATAGAGTCTGTAGTTGAAATTGACATGATTATTCTGCTTGTCTTTTTCCTCAATTATTACTCTATTTAATCTGAATTTCAAAATTTTAAAAGTTTGAAAATTAATTTTCTTTTCTCATTTTCCTATATATTTAGTTTTTTTTTTATTGCAATTGGAAAAGTTTCAAATTCACATATCTTGGAGCATTATCAAAATGGCTCAGATGTTGGAATAGGTTGATTTGTTCCAAGGTAGATTGGAGCTCTTTTCGAAAGGCTATTTTATATTTGGTGCTTATAGTCTTGTCTTTCTTGGAAATATGAGGTGTTGTTCCGAAGGCTCCAACTTTGAATTTAGTTTTTTAATATATGACGATAGCCACCTATTGAAGGTTTTCCAATGGCTATTTTTAAACTTGGTTATTTAAAGCAGCAAATTCTAATAGCCAAATATTTTTATATTTGAAACCATTAAATCATTTTCTGTGGACAACTTTTGTGTTTTGCTCCAATAGTTCTTTCAAAACCACTTAGAAATGAAGATTATGGCAGTGCCATTTGCTAGCTAATTTTATATTATCAACTGTGATAATTTTATAATTATCTATTTCAATATTTTTTTCTCTTTTTTTCCTTATTGCCATTGGCCCACCTTGTCATGTTTTATTTAACAGGAGAGGATTCATTCTTTGAACATCATAGTATTGATTTTAGGATTTTCTAAATTGAAATAAAATTTTAACACCACCACTATCAGTTTTAGAACTTCACCCAATGATGCCAAAATATTTTCTTACACAACGATACTTCTGATCTGTCTCGAGTAAAAACTCCCTAAAATATAGTACAAGTTGAATTTAGTCAAGTGAGCAACAAATGAGTAGCTTACTTGTTCACTCTAAATGCTGTTGTCCAAAGCTCAACCTTAATACAGAATAGCCAAATTAATTAAGCTACTAAGATGCCTCGCTGACACGACACAATGCAACAATAACTAAGCAAGGAAACAGCATGTGTGGCAAAACTTCAAGACCCAAAAGAAAGAGTTAGCACTTGATTTTCGTATTTAGATTTAAAGAAAAATTAGGTTATTCTTTATATTGGCACGGAAAAATAGTTTAAATGGGACAATAGACATAATTTACAGTCATTAGAATGAAACAAGTTCAATTTAGAGCTTCCGCTAGTGGATACAATGAAAGCATTGACTTAGATTTACAATTGGCACACATTAATGCCTCACGATAATCGGAATCAATAACAGCAATATGTCAATTGTAAATCAAACTACTTAAGGATTCAAACTTGCTTATTTTGTTTGGAAGTAGAGTTATATTGACAATTTTTTTTTTTTACAAACTTCATTATGTCTGACCTGTAATCTTCTGCTCAAGAGTGTATTACAGGTCAGACATAGTGTAATTTGTAAAAGTTTGTAAACAAAAAATTTATAAATATAATAGTTTCCTTTATTTGGTTATACAAAAATAAATTGATAAAACAGAAAGGATGCTTTTGAGACGACTTGCTTTTGTCATAGTTGAACTGTCCACACAGTGGATGTTATAATCTTTAATTCAATGTAAGGGTTGGTATAGAAAAACCATCAAACACCATGCCTGGCCCAACACACTTTATTGTTTAGGACTGGCCACACGGATTGGGCTGGACGCTAAGGCCCATTATAGGGGCTGAACTCTGCATCCATAAAGTGGAACAAGTGTTTCCTCATAACATCTGATCCCCTCACCCAAGCATTGTCTAGTAGGGCTCACAAGTGCAAAATGGTTAGGCACTTTTGGTGTATAGTATAGGATAAGACATGATAGTATAAGACTTGATTAAATTTTAATACTATCCAGCGTTTGGTATGGTATTTTATAAGATAATATCCTTCAATATTTTAAAAATTAATATATTAAAAAAATTATTTTAATATATTAATATTGAAATGATATATTAATTCTTGAGAATTGTAATTATAAACAATATTAATATATGAATCCCTTATCAGGCCTAATCTACCCCTTTAGGCCGGATTAAGTTATACATCATTTTGATTGTATTAAGAGATTATGTTGTATAAGTTTATACTATACGATAGTCAAACAAAACCTCATTTTCTCACACCTGCGAATTACCTTCGGCTATAAATACCCCTCTTCTCCATTGAAGAAACAACTTTTGCATATTCACTCAGTAAGCTGTTACTTTGCCGAAATACAGCCATTTTTAGAGTCACCATGCCCTCACACTCCCCCTATTCTCACTGTTTGCCCAAGTCCCTTCCACGGGTGACTCCATCACAGAGCTTTGATTCATACTAAAGCGTCCCCACACTATATATCCATATACTTTACCACGAGTTGGAAAAAGATCTTTTGGTAGCAGTCGAATAGTACACTTACCATTGAAGCAGGGCATCAAAATTCTCTTAAATTTTTTCATAAACATCTTATATTTGACTCAACCTCAACCTCAATATCAATTTTATCCAAAACTAGTTTGGATTGGCAGTGGATAAACCCATGTAGAAACAAAAACAGAATAAGATATGAACTCAACTCCTATGATCATGTTGTTAGGGATATATAAAATCATTAATGTAATATCACCCAACAGCTTAAACTTTTGAATTAAATTGGTTCTTTACATAGTATCAGAGAGAATTACTTAACCCCATTAAATTAATAATTAATTAAGTCTTGTGGGTTAAATTGATTCTTTACATAGTATCATAGAGAGTTACTTAACCCTATTAAATTAATAATTAATTAAGTCTTGTGGAGAGTTTCTTCGTACAGGTTGTACCTGATACATTATCCACCCTTCAAGCCTAATTGACTCTCATATGACGTGTTAGAGATATATAAAATCATTATTGTAGTCTCACTCAACAGCTTGAACTTTTAAGTTGAATTAATTGTTTACGGATCATATAGCTTGTCCCAAGTCAAGATAAAGGAGAAGAGTTACACCAGGCGCGGTGAACCTGTTGTAAAAAAGAGCTACTTTTATAAGATAAACCTTTTTGTATTTGACTACATAAAAAAATGTAAAATTACTCCTTGCTTTCCTGAGCTAAAATTTTAAGCTCTGCCTTTGTTACATAGAAACATATAAATGAAAAGAATGGTCATCAAAGAAGTTTATCTGCATCGATGGTGGTCATTAAAGGTGCTAACCGTATCAATTGATGGAACTCATTTACAGTCTACTTTCTTGTCTCAGAGGCAAGTCAAGTTTGAGCAACTTGGTGAACTACAAAACAGATTAAGATCCATTAAGGCAATGAATCATTGTAGAATGGTGCTCAGAAATCATGTGAAGTAACAAACTCGTTAACAATCCAGTGGATGTTATGTCCAAACATATATATCATGAGCTATAAACATACCACCATAAATGAATCCACACCCACACTGAGATGCATTCACAAACACACCTGAGATATCTTGAGTTCTAGCTCATCCCATTCCAAGTAAGGACAGCTTCCTTCCACTATCCCTGTTCCAGCATATATTAATGCACCTAGATCCTAGAAAACAAAAACAAAAAAAAACAAAAAAACTGGCCAATGTTATTATTGATGGTAAAAGTTTGACTAATATGTGGCTGTTTTTAAAGATTCCAAAATGAGTTTCGATACTAATAAAGAGATTCCTTAAATTCTAGGGAATTTCTTACGGTACTTTTCCACAATTCCACCAGAGGGCCGAACGTGGCTTGTCAGAATCTAGCATATCAATTTAAACAAAAAAGGAAAAAACGTCTGCTGAAACTTAAGGGACAAAACTGTTCCTGAAGGTGTCATTTCATGGCCTCCAAGATGCTTATTAATATGCAGTGATATTTATTTCATCGAAAATAATATGTATTACATAAATCAAATGTTCTTGCTTCTATTTAAACAATAGAACTATCACTTTTCCCCCTACTTTATATAGTATGCTAGAAACATGAACATTTTGGACTAATATGCAAGCTAAATGTGTCATATAGAAACCTCAAATTATATTGCTAACCTTTTCCACCAATGCTGACCTGATGCCAACGGCAAACTCACTCTCTCCTCCTCCAAACCAGCCAACAGGTCCAGCATACATCCCGCGATCAAATACTTCTGAACATCATTGTTTGAAAGTAAGAAAAGTTTATCAAAGTGAATAGAAGTCATAACTTTGTCAACCAAATTTGGAACATCAAACAATTAGTTTAGTCCTTATTATTACCCAGTATGCTCTGAAATGATTTTTAACAAGATATCAGTATTTTGAAAATGATTAAATAACAGCAACACTTAAAGAGATCTTCTCAGGAGACGGGTACAAGTCACCGTACAACCCTATCTACCAAAGAAATGAATCCATGCCTACCAAAATAGGAACTAATCATTCCAATACAGACAACAAAATTCCTTAATAAAACAAGGGGAACAAAAGCCAGCTTTGTAGATCTATTTGAAAATATGCAACTGAAGGATGCTCTGAAGAAATTTCACTTTAGGAGGACCTATGTTAGCATTACCTGTTGATGCAGCTGAGATTTCTGAAGTACACCAGTATTCTTTTATATGTAATTTTATATTGTATTTTGGTTGCTACATAATGTTTTGACTAAGAGTAGGGTAACCTATACCTATTGGAATGTATTTAGGAGAAGTTGTCAGTTGTTAGTAGAGCACTATACCTTTTTGTTTGCAAGAAAAACTTGCCACCTATGTATAAAACTTACTGCAGAATGTAATGATGTTTGTCACGTTTCTGGAATTTATTTTGAGTGCTCCACGATTGGTATTCGAGCTCTATAATCTCAAAGGACTTGTAGGAGAAAAACAGAGAAGAAAAACATAGGAATAGAAAAAACTAGAAAGCCCACCAGAAAACCCTGTATCTTCTTGACTGCTTCAAGCAACATTTGGGTTGTGAAGATGAGGGCTGAGAAAACATTTGGACTGCTTCAACCAATATTTCTGCACTGCCTGTGTGTACAGGAAAGAATTATTATATCAGGGCTGTGAAGATGAGAGCTCAACTGAGAGCTTATGATCTCTGGGATGTGGTGGAATCAGGTGTTGAACCACCACCATTATAAGAAAATGCCACAATTTCTCAGATAAGTTGCCAAAAGAGCTAAGGCTCTTAGCATCTTGCACTCAGTTGTGAATGATGATATATTTATTTGAATTTCAAATTGTGAGACAGCAAAGGAAATCCGGGACAAGCTTGACAAGGAGTTTTTACGAAATGAAAGAACTAAACACAGGCAATTTCGTAATTTCAGAATAGAGTTTGTATCCTTGAAAATCAATGATGCCCGAATGATAAAGGAGTTCATGTCCAAGCTTATGAAAATTGTGAACCAGATCAGATTGATGGGAGAAGAATTTTCAGATAGCAGAATTATAGAAGAGGTCCAAGTGCTCTGGTTTGAAAGAGTTGAATCCATGATTTCTTCACTTGAAGAGTCAAAGGATCTTAGCTTAATGTAGCCTCACCTACCAGCTTAAACTTTTGGGTTAAATTGGTTCTTTACAAAACTCAAAAACTGTTACGCACCAAAGTCTTCGCATGGTATCAATTAGCATTTACTAGCTTCCATCAATAAAAGATTGGATTAGTATCAATAATGCATTTGCTAGCTTTTACTAACAAAATATTGGTATCTCTAAATTGGTATCAATTAGTCCAGATTAGTATCAGTTCCCTTTTTAGTATTTGAAATCTGTTGTTATAAAAATCACAACGGCTGCAGTATAGAATAGGCAAGCAATTAAGCAATTACTTTCTTCCAATAATTCTCTTTCACTACTCTCTCTCTCTCTCTCCCTTTTTCTCTGTTTCTTCCCTTGGAATTCTGCCATTCTACAATTACCCCTAACAAGAGCAAAGCTGTTGTTTTCTCTGTATTATTTGTTCATTCCATGAAGAAACAAAACTTGAACATCTAAACTAAGACACAAGAGTATTTTAAGGGTGACCTACTTATGGCCCTAATCAACCTACACAAGGAAACAAATAATAACAATAAATACGGAATAAAATATAAACTAGGAAACAAGTAATAGGAATAAATGCAACTAAACCTCTTTGATTGATGAAAATTCTAGAGGATTGGGGAGTGCAGCAGCAGGAAGCTAGTGAGATTAATTGTTATAGCAAATTAGCCATTCCTAATGCTGAAAACTCAATGTATTCGAACCTTGGGAGAACCCCAAAAGCTAGCTTAAAAGGTAGGAGAGCCCAAAATCCATATAAACCCCATATTAGTCACCCATATAACCAATGTGGGACTCCAGTAGGATTGTAACATTCCACCACGCTCTGCAGCCCCGGCACCCACGCAGGCTGGCTTTGCGCTAGTTTTTTACTAATTCCGAGCGAACACTACAATGCCGGCATCACCACCCATGGTCGATTGAAACCGAGAGACATAGTAGAAGGCTCTTATACCAATTGGCACGTACCTTGGGAGAACCTCATCCCAAAAACTAGTTCAAGAGGTAGGAGAGCTCAAAGTCCATATAAACCCCACATTAATCACCCATATAACCAATGTGGGACTCCAAGTCCCATGCCTCTAAGTAGGACCGTAACCAAGTGAAGTTTGGTGCTATATATGAAGCTATAAAAAACCATGATATTAAGGTAGTTCATTGCTGTCTTGAACTTCAAGTTATTGGTATACTCACTAAAGATCTTCCGAGAGCTAGATTTTAAAGACTTACAGAATTTCTTAATGTACACGGGTATTTTTTTAAGTGTAATTTTATATTGTGTTTTAGTTAGTTGATAAACAATGTTTTCACTAAGAGTATGGTGACATAAACTTATTGGAGTGAGTTGTCAGACATTAGTAGAGCACCATACTTTCTTTGTTTGTACGAAAAGCTTGCTACACAGGTATCTGTCACACACTAAGGACCTGTTTGGTGTGATATATAAAGTCTGACAGTATAAGCTTATATTATACATTATGACATTTTTAGTTGTTTGGTGTGACCATCGTATAATATAAGCTTACACAGAAGAATCCTTAATACATCAAAATAATGTATAACTTAATCCGGCCTAAGGGGGGGAGATTAGGCCAGATAAGGGATTGATGTATTAACATCGTTGATCAGTACAATTCTCAAGGATTAATATATTATTTTAATATTAATATATTAAAATAAAGGAAAATTCCCCTGAAGTTAAAAGGAAAATTCTATAAAACGGCAGTACGACCGGGAATGCTTTATGGAGCGGAATGCTGGCCAGCACATAGGCAACATGAGCATAAGATAGGAGTAGCAGAGATGGGGATGTTAAGGTGGATGTGTGGTTACACAAGGATGGATAAGATAAGAAATGAAGATATTCGACGAAAGGTCGGAGTAGTACCGGTAGCCGAGAAGATGAGAGAACATAGATTGAGGTGGTTTGGGCACGTGATGAGAAGACCCATGGATGCTCCTGTAAGAACAGAAGTTTGTTACCAAAAGCTAAACACAAAAAGAGGCAGAGGTAGCCAAAGCTTACTTGGGGGAAAGTAGTAAAACAAGATTTAATGGAGTGAGATATAGATTGACGGACAGTATGTCTTAGAAAGGAATGAAGAAAAGCTATAAGTACGGTGGAGGGTTAGACCCCCTGTTATTCCTATGTTCCAGATGGTCCCTTTTTAGTCCTTTTCCCCTTCCATTTCCCCCACTTCTTCTTGTCCCTTTCTTTTTTACTTTTATTTATTTATATATACATATATTTTTATTTTATTTTATTTTATTTTATTATTTTATTTGTGTATTTTTATTTATTAATTAATTATTTTATTTTATTTTTTATTTTTATTTTTTTATTTTTTTTATTTTTTTATTTTTTTTTATTTTTTTATTTTTTTATTTTTTTTTACTTTTTTTTCAACCGTTTTGTATCTTTCATGTGGGTTCATCTACCACCGACCCCAATTAATTTGGGATAAAGGTGTTGTTGATGTTGATGTTGATATTAATTTTTAAAATATTTGAGATTTTTATTTTTATAAAAATTAATATATTTTTTGGACAAACTGATAAATAGATTTTTATAAAAATTAATATCATGTGACATATTTAGAAGAATTATATAAACTCTTTATTAATTTATATGCTATGGATAAAAGTCCTTTGTAGAACTGATAAGAAAATATTTGATTGCATCAGAAACAATAGTGTTTGGAAAATGGATGTACCTGTCTCTGCAATTAAAAGTTGTGCCTCTTTTGTTGGGAACCCACAAACTGCTGGACTTGGGTGAAGTGACGACAAAATTTCAAACTAGAAGAAAAAGAAAAAAGAAAAGATGAACAACCTAGTTTATATGGTGAGCATTTATTTAATAAAATTACTTTCATTTTTAAAGAATTGAATGTTCAATGAAACTTGAGTATTTGGCACTCATGGTTACCTCATCTTCTTCACTTCTTAACCTTCCAACTAATTGAGCAAATAAATGCTGGATCCTGGGAAGTTTTCTGATTATTTTCTTTGGCTTGATTACAACATTTTCACATACAGCCTGCTAAAAAAACATGCACAGATAAAAGGTTTATCCTCATGATAGCCAAGGAAATTCTCAAATGACTTTAAGGAGATGCAAGAGTAATATGTATAATGAAACAGCATATTGAGTGTGGCATTATAAAGTTCAGACTTCCAATCTATATTGCCTAGGTTCTTTAGTTAGAGAAACCAATACGATTAACCCACCCTTAGTTCTCTGTCAGATTCTTTACATTGACAGAATGTGGCTAAAGATATCAACACCAGATCCTAAAAGTTCACTTCATACAGGCAATAATTATTTTAGTAAAACAGATAAGCAATCGATGCTAGTAATCAGAATTACATAAGTAAACCTACCTCTAATTTTCTTCTTATTGTCTCTCTCACTATAGTAAACTCAATGTCATCCTTTGGACTGTAAACATATGTCAAAAACTTAAACAACAAAGATTTAGGAGCTAGACATAATGTAGGAAATATAAAGCACAAGGATCAGGAAAAGCAAGTAAAAAACAACATTGTTTATCAAAGCTCTAAGCAAAGTTAAACCTGGTAAGTAAGTCAAGTTCAATTTGATGGTCAAGTGCTACTGACACTCCTCTAGCGCGGGTTCCAGCCAAGGCCTCACTGTTAATGTGGAGCCGTTTTCTGTGAAATAGTTGCTCTGGCTATTCATCAAGTTCATAAAAATTAAAATGGAAACAGAGGAGAAAAATGTATCATTGCTGAATCAGTTCAGCAAATCAGTTCTTAAAAAGGCTATCCACCTGATGACTCTTAACGTACACAAAATTAAGCCTAAATTTCTAAAACATAATTAGAAAGTAATTTAAATTATTGTGTTAAATTCATTTTGAGGATGTATTCGGTGGAATATTCAGCACAACATCATGACATAGCATGCAAAGATATAAGGGAAGAATATATAAACCTAGTTTATAGTTAGATGCCAGACAAATGGCACACTCACTGTGTTTCCAATAAATGCCGGTGCATTAGGCGGCTGAAGGAAAAACTGGTAAGCATTTCCACCTTCAACCTATAATAGAGTTGATGGAGACATAAGAAATTTGCTACAACAAATTATGAAGATACCACTGCTCAATTTGAAGCAGGATAAAGAGAAAAGAAGAGTCCAATACCTTCAAGCAAGCTAACCACCTAAGAGGATCAATATCAGCAGTAGGCATTACTCTAGTGCTACGAGCTAGCACAACCTGAGTGTCCAATATGGCAGAAGAAACTGAGCTTTCAAATGGATTCTTGCAACACAAGTTATGATACAAAAGCAGTAAAGCAAAACCAGGAAGAATTTTTTTTGACAAAAGTAACAAGCATGAGATATAGGTTACCTTCGCCAGTAAGGAGTCATTTTGCTCTATCATCTGCAAAGCTCTATTAACTGCTAGATCCCAATCTACTTTACTGGGAATGTTATGGCTGCTTAAAATTAATGTTGGAGGAGCTTGTTTTGGAAACTTCACAATGGAAGAAGAAACCTGACGCGCAAAGATGTACAATTTGAACAAGTCTCCCGCTTAATAATTTAAACGACACAAACTATTTGCAGTCACCTTGCAAAGTGTTGCTTGGAGTGCATTGATTGCATTTTCCCACGACCAAGAAAGAGCATTATCCCAGGCAATAGTTGTGGTAAGCATTGATCCTCCTTCAAGCTCATTAAACTCAACCTGTCATTTTTTTTTTTTGGCTTGGTATCTCTAGCTGCTATGCTATAAATACTAACACACTCATGGATAGCAAATTAGTTTTTTGAAAGAAAACAATGTATGCACCTGAGGAATCATGAAGTAGAAAGAACCAAAAGCCCGCCACTCTGATGACACCTTAGATTTTGCATTGAAACGGATAGCTCCATATGCACGAATTAATGGGCATCTCTCAGAAAGAAACCTTGAAATTGAGTTTTTTTAAACATCAAAACAAAAAGAAAACTATAAACACACTTTGAGGTTCTATATATTTCAGTTGGAGAAAAGATTTTTCACAGTAGTAGCTGCTGCATATAAGGCAGTACACAAAATTTTACAGTATAGTGAAACTTTAAGTGCATCTTATAATTAGAAACTGTTGAATAGATGGCTTGAATTAGCCAACCAGCATAGCTTGTTAACCCATGAGAATGAAACATGGCATTTGTTATATTTGAAAAGAATTACCAATTATCAAGCCAACCAAACTCAAGGCTTGACAATTTATTGCCAATGACTTGGTGAAGCACACTGTCCACATTTTTTTGCTATCAAAAAAATGATATTAATGCAAAAGTGTAGGAAGGCCTATTGTTATGGACCTGACAAAGCCCCATATTCTAGAATGACCAATAAAGGACAGCACAAAAGGAAGGGAATCTCCTATTAATGACGATCCTATCCAGACAGCTAAGCAGTTGGACTTGGGCCCCCAATATTCCTAAGAGGCCCAGAAGTACACTCCTTCAGGTAACCCATCTATAAATAAGGGGTTAAACTAATAAGGTACACACTCTCTAAACCCTCTCTCTTAGCTTGTCACTGTGCACACACCCCACGCCTTGGCTATGTCGATAATTATTGTGCACAGTGATCGACCTACCCTCAAGGGTATCTCATTCATAGATACTTGAGAGAGGGCACCTAGATCCTACATAAAATATACCAGCCACCGGTTGGACATCTCTATTTTTCAGACAGAACACCTATAAAGACCATTCCCTCATAGACATTCAGATTATCACTTGCAGAGAATATAGTGTTAGTGTATAACATATCTTCTCTTTGTAAATATTCTTTGCAGCTTGCTTCATCATGTCATGTCTTGAAAACATATTCACAAGCCAAGTTTTGGTTGGCAGAAGAACCATTTTTCATACTTAACAATGCAGAGGAATGTTCGCTGCAGTAATGTGTAACTCATTTACACCATTGATATTAATGAATAAAAGGGATAGACAAAAAATAAAAATAACAATAAATAGTGGTGAGCAGAGTCAATTGAGAAACTTATTATTATGTGTATTTAAAAAGGTTGATGTTTTATTCTCCTCTCTTTTTTTTGAGATTATCCTCCGGCAATCCCATAGGTTCTCTATGGACTAATCCTGAGTTCGAGGCGAGTCCAGGATTAAGGCTTTAAACCCCTCCCAAAGATGGTCAATGTTTTATTCTCCATAGTTAACAACAGCAAGCACCAAATCATTTCTTGTCCTTGCAATAAATGAGACAAAAAGGGTGATCCTAGAATCACGGTAAAACTACTCTTTTATGACTAAAAGGTCACTCGAAAACATCTATTGCAAATATAAAGGGTAAGATCTATTCCAAATATAGGGTAAGATCTATTCCAAATATAAAGGGTAAGGCAGCATTCTCATCTCTACCTTAGCTAGTTGTATTTCAATGGGGAGTGGCTTTTTGCAATAAATGAGGCCAATAACCACTATTCAACAGTTTCTAATTTTAACTAACTTAAAAATTTTCTAAAGATTTAAACTAAATTTTCAAGGACCCAAAATTACTTACCTCCTTACAGATATCCAATCCCAATAGGAAAATTGATGAGACTGGCAAAAGAAAACAGCTGAACCCACACCAGCAACGCTGACCAAGTTTCCATGGCATGGATTGTGTTCCCTACCAGAGAAAAAGCAACGAGGAAGGAGAAGGTGACTCTGAGAATGAAGCCAATCAATGGCTTCAACATGCTCTTGAATGGGAACCTCCACCCTTACTACACCAGACGAGGTACAAAATGGAGAATCTGATTTCAACTGTGAAATAGCCATGTTGAGACTATACATAGCCATTGCAGGTGATGCAACTGGTGCCAAGGTTCGAGTTTCTATGGTCCCAACTGGGTTCCTTGCATGGTTTTCTCCTTCTCTGCAACCGTTCATTGAAAGGTAGCATCCCTGACACATGAATCTCTGAACAAAAAAGGACACAAACATAGGATGATTGTTAGTGTTGTTGTTACATATATATATATATATGTTTGCTTTGGGGGGTACAAAGAGAAGGAACATAAGTGAGAGTATGTTGCATTACATAGTTGTAGGTGAAAAACATGGGATGCTGCTGTTGTCTCTTTGAAATAGGAGGTGCAAGGATATTGCTGCATTTTGTGTTGTTGGTGAAGTTTGTGAGCCACTTGTGAGCAGTGGCTGTTGCCATGAGTTTATGTCAGAAGGGATATGATGGAAGTGAACAAATGGTGGCTTGTGTTGTTGCAAAGTGAAAGCGATAATATGAAATGATATGGTTTGGTGGGGAGTGGATGAGTTTGGATAGATTGCCTTCTTGAAATTTTCAATTTTGATTTTATAAAAAATTAAAGGGGAAGGATCCACCTACCACCAAAAAAGTTTATAACTTTTACAATTAATTTAATTACCGTTAATTTTCATCAATCAAATGGTTATAATTTATTGGGAATTAATAAATGTAACACAATAAATATTATTAATTTTCAATAAATTATAAGCGTTAGATTGACAGAAATCAACGGTAATTAAATTGATTGTAAGAGTTGTAAATTTTTTTGGTGGTAAATGGATCCGTACTCAAAATATAAAATTAAATAACAAAAGAAAAGTATTTATTATCTTAAAAAGAATATAAGTTGGGGTCATTTTAAATAAAATTATTGTATTTTAGTAAGTTTTTATTTTTTTTGTAGGTTAGTAAGTTTTTATCTTATCTCTCCTTAATAATACATTTATTTTCTTTCTCCTTCTAATTTTGTAGAGGAAATAGAATATCAAAAATTACTAAATATATACACCAAAACACATTAAATTTACTTAAAATGATAAACATTTGCACATAATAAAAATACGTAATTTTGTTTGTAATTTTTTTTGAAAACTAAAAATACGTAATTTGATGTATATTCTATTATAATTATATAGAAGAAACTAATATAAGTTTAAAAAAATTAATAAAGAAAGTTTTGTCGGTTTTGTAATGCTATGGATTATTTCAATAATTGATAAATCAGAAATAAATTTAAGAAAGAAAAATTGAAAACATTGATTATAGCAAACTCTGTATTTTTCTTTTGGAGTGTGAAATATATGAAATTAATATTTTAATTTTCACATGAACCCTATTCTTATAGGTTATTCTAACTTAAGTTTAAATTGAAAACATTGATTATAGCTAACTATGTATTTTTCTTTTGAAATGTGGAATATATGAAATTAATATTTTAATTTTGACATGAACCCTATTGTTATAGGTTATTCTAACTTATCTTTAGAGGTGGTAAAGTGGGCAGTCCCGCCCAACTCTCTATCAACCCGCCTAAAAATGAATTTGCTTGTCCCGCCTTTCTTTTGTAAATGGGTTGAAAAACTCATCTCATACCGTCTCGTTTGACGAGCGGGGTGGGTTGGCTCGAACATGTTTTACACTAACCCGCATCGCTCTGTCCCACCATCAACTTGTTAAAAAATGAGTTAGCTCATCCTACCTTGCTTTTGAGAGTGGGCTGAAAAACACGGCTTGTCCCGCAGAGTTTTACAGACGAGCAGGTTGGCTCGTCGATTCGAATCCGATTTACATTAACCCTCCTCGCACCACTTTTAGAATAAGTTATAAAACTCAGCTTGTCTCGCTCCATTTAACGGGCGGGGTGTGGTGGGCTTCTAGGCCGAACCTATTTTGCCGACGTACTTATTTTCTAAGTTCATATTTGTAACACTTTGTACCGGAAATTTACTTTGTAATTTCTAAAAGGAACTTAATCACTATTTCAAGGAAATGGAATGCTACTTACTATTAGCATGAATCATAGTGTATAGTAAATATTTTAATATTGTATTATTAAAGAATAAAGAGAAGATTATAATTAGAAATTTTTTATTTACAAACTAAACTATGTACTATGGTTTCACCAAAAAAAAAACTATGTACTATCGAAAATGCACATTTAAGTGTTTGTATTTTCTCAAATACATAATTTAATTTATAAATAAAAAATTTATTAATATAACGACTCTAGTCTGGAAAAATAAAAAAAGTCAACCTTTTTTATAGTTATTATTACACCCAACGGAGTGTGAAGGGAAATATCTTAATAAAACAAATAAACAGGGGTGGGGGGAGTCTCTTATAAATTATGTTGCACCGACACCGAGATGAGATATGAGATACGACAAGACACTCCGACACGTTAATTCTAAAAAATATTAAATTTTGACACGTTAAGACACGTTTTCATATTATATAATATTTTTAATTTATGTAGTGTATATTATATTTAATATTCAATAATTTAACAAAAAATAAAGCTAAACTTATAATACCCATCAATTTTGCAAAGAAACATAAGATATCAAAAATGTTTATATTAAACTCAATAAAATAGTAACTGTAATCTAACGAATTTAATAGTTGCAACTCAAAATGCAACGCAACGTAAACTTTGAACCTTTTTTGAGTCTTTGCAACGAGTATTGGAGTGTCGAAAAGTGTCGGAGTGTCGGAAAGTGTCGGATACGACATGACAGAGATTTTGAAGTGTCGATGCTTCATAACTTATAAATAAGTCATCGCCGGGAATGGAAAAAAAGTGAAAAGGAAAAATAGAGGGACGAAGATATCAAAAAGATAGAGGGGACTGGGAAATTTGAAGTTAATGTTTTATTTAAAATTTTACTATTCATCTAACCAATTGAAATTTTTTTACTATAATAGATTTTAGGACCAAAGCAAACACACATAAACAATTTGAAGGAAAAACATCAAAGGGAGGAAAACGAAAACACAAAATTTACTCTGTGTTCGGCCCTAGAGAACCGTATAGTAATACCGTAAGGTATGCGCTCAGAGATACCCTATAGATAGGTATCTTGGTTGAATTGTAGCTAATATCTCAATCACTGCGCACAAGCAATATGCTTATAACCGAGACGTGGGTGTGTGCACAGTGTGGGCAGAAGTAGTAAATGAGTTCAGAGTGTGTACCTGAAGTCTTTAGCCTCTTATTTATAAGGATTACCTTCATAGGCTTGGACCTTTGAGATCTCCCAGTTGATATGAAATCTGCCTTGATTGATGGGGATAGGGATCTTATCCATTGATCCTCTCTAGATTATATGGTTGCGATATCCCTATCCAATCTTGCTAGTAATAGGGTTGTTAGGATATGGATCCAGTCCATAACAGTTGCCCCCCAGCCCGGCAGTTCGAAAGCTCGGACAGCTAGGGTGCCTAAGTTTGATTTATAGGTCGACCCTACCGAGGTACTATGATCCTGGCTTGGGTCTGGTGCGGCTACCTCTTCTTGGTTTGGCTTTTTATGTTGGTTTCTTTTCTCTTGAAGTCTCTGAGTGGTGAGGTGGTGTTTGTCTCTTTTTGACTTTGAGCTCAGCATCTCTTGTCGAGGCTCTTTAGTTTTGACTAGGCTTATTGTCAGTCTTTTATGTAGGCATTCGCCTAAGTTTTAGGATGGCGTTTTGTGCCTTCTTAATAATTAACCTGACTTTGCACTCCCTGGCTTTAAGTGTCGTGGTTTCAGATTTGGCTCGGTTTCGCATACCAAGATCTCTATTAGCACAGATTTGACCTTTTACAAAGGTGTATTGTACTTTAGGGAGCACGTCTTTTCTTACTGTGACTTCACCCCTTTTAGATTTGGCTTGCTTCCTATGTCTTAATTTTGGGAAGGTCTTTCATGCCTTCTTCAACGATTAGTCCGGCTTCGAATACCATGACTTCTCTTGTTTTTAACGGACTTGACTTCTTTTGCCATAGTCTTGGATTCTTGAAAAAGGAGTTTGCCTCCTCGATTTTAAGCCCGAATATGTATATCGTGGCTTTTATTTTGAGCATCACTTCATTCGTGACAGCTTTTTAATTTGAGGCTAGCCTGTTAGGCCTTTGTGGCCAAAACCTTAACGACTTGGCTTTGCTGTTGCAGTCTTAAGTTACCAGGCAGTTTTCTACCTTCTTCATTTTGAGCCCAGCTTCACATACCGTAGCTTTCTTTAAATTGACTTGGCTTTTGCCTTGTCTACACTTTTGAAGGCGATATCTTTGTCTTTCTGATTTTAGCCCGGCTTAACGTACCGTGGCTTTACTGTTGGACTAAACTTTTTATCAGTCTTGTTTGCGAAGGTTGTATTCACCTTCTTGAACTCTGCTTATTATATTGTGGCTTTTGTATTTGTGACTAGGCCATAGTCACTTTATATCTCTGGCATTGACTTTCATCATATTTTGTTTGAGCCCGGCTTCGCATGCCGTGGCTTTCTACTTTGAGCCACGCTTTATTAGCGATGGCCTTTTTATCTGAATCTGGCTTCTTACGCTGTGATTTTCTTATTTTGAACCCCGTTTCATTTGCGGTGAATTTTTAATTTGAGGCTGGCCTGTTGGGCCACAAACTTTGTCATTTGGCTTTGTTGCCAAAATATTGAATAGGAGCCCGACATCATATGTCGCCTCGATTTTTTTTTTATCTCAAATTGGGGTGTGATCCTTTTCCAGGATCACGATCTCTCCAAATTCGTCTTCTCGGATTGGGGTGTGATCCTTTTGCTAGAATCACATCTCTCTGATTTCGTCTTCATCTTTATCTCATATCGAGGTGTGGTCCTTTTGCTAGGATCACATCTCTCCAATTTCGTCTTCATTTTTATTGCGGATTGAGGTGTAATTCTTTTGCTAGGATCATATCTCTCCAATTCCATTTTTTTTTTTCGAATCGGGGTGTGATCCTTTTGCTAGGATCACATGTCTCCAATTTCGTCTTCTTTTTTATCTTAGATTGGGGTGTGATACTTTTGTTAGGCTCACATATCTCCTTTTCTGTCTTCATTTTGATCTCGGAGCCTGAAGTTATGGCTAAGGCTGAGTTGAAGCTCAAGGCCGTGGTCAAGCTATAATCTTGAATCCCTTGGTTGGGCTGAGTTGGAGCTCAAGGCCAAGGCTGAGCTATTAAACTTAAAGCCCTTAGTTGGGCTGAGTTGAAGCTCTAGGCTAAGGCTGAGTTTTTAACTTTTAAGCCCTTAGTTAGACTGAGATAAAGCTCTAAGCTAAGGCCGAGCTTTTAAACTTGAAGCCCTTGGCTGGGTTGACTTGGAGCTCAAGGTCGAGGTTGAGCCATTAAACTTAAAGCCCTTAGTTGGGCTGAGTTCAAGCTCTAAGCTAAGGTCGAGCTTTTAAACTTTAAGCCCTTCATTGGGCTGAGATGATGCTGAAAGCTGAGGCCGAGCTTTTAAACTTTAAGACCTTAGCTGGGCTGAGATGAAGCTTAAGGCCGATGCCGAGCTTTTAAACTTTAGGCCTTTCACTGGGCTGAGTTGATAATCATGAAGTCCTTCACTAGGCTGAGTTGAAGCTCAAGGCTGAGGCCGAGCTTTAATCTTGAAGCCCTTCACTGGGCTAAGTTGGAGCTCAAGGTTGAGGCCGAACTTTTAAACTTGGAGCCCTACACTGGGCTGAGTTGATAATCATGAAGCCCTTCACTGGGCTGAGTTAAAGCTCAAGGCTGAGGCCGAGCTTTAATCTTGGAGCCCTTCAATGGGCTAAGTTGGAGCTCAAGGTCGAGGCTGAGCTATTAAACTTAAAGCCCTTAGTTGGGCTAAATTGAAACTCTAGGCTAAGGCCAAACTTTTAAACTTTAAGCCCTTCATTGGGCTGAGATGAAGCTCAAGGCTGAGGCTGAGCTTTTAATCTTGAATCCCTTCGTTAGGATGAGTTGAAGGCTGAGGTCGGGCTCTTAAATTTGAAGCCCTTGGTGGCCTTTTTTATCTGAACCCGACTTTTTACGCCATGGTCTTTTAATTTAAGCCCAGCTTCTTTCGCGGAGGCTTTTTAATCTGAACCCGACTTTTTACGCCGTGATCTTTTAATTTGAGCCCCACTTCTTTCGTGGAGGCTACGTCGTTGTCTTTTAATTTGAGCTCCGCTTCTTTCGCAGAGGCTTTTTTAATCTGAACTCGGCCTTTTACGCTGTGCTCTTTTAATTTGAGCCCCACTTCTTTCGCGGAGGCTTCTTTATCTCAACCCGACTAGAGAAATGTATAGTAATACCGTAAGGTATGCTCTCAGAGATACCCTATAGATAGGTATCTTGGTTGGTTTGTAGCCAATATCTCAATCACTGCGCACAAGCAATAGGCTTATAGCCGAGACGTGGGTGTGTGCACAGTGTGGGCAGAAGTAGTAAATGAGTTCAGAGTGTGTACCTGGAATCTTTAGCCTCTTATTTATAAGGATTACCTTGATAGGCTTGGGCCTTTGAGATCTCCCAGTTGATATGAAATCTGCCTTGATTGATGGGGATAGGGATCTTATCCCTTAATCCTCTTTAGATTATATGGTTGCGATATCCCTATCCAATCTTGCTAGTAATAGGGTTGTTAGGATATGGATCTAGTCCATAACACTCTGATTCACCGTGGACTATGTCAAGTAATATTCATTACATTCTCCTTGGTGCACAGTAAAAAATAAATAAAATAAAATTAATCTAAGACCCACAATAATATTAAACCTTTGGTGAATAAGGATTGTCATCTGAATATGAAGTACGAAGCATATTCAATAGCTAAGATAGCTTCTAGCTTGGCTTGATAGCTTTTACTCAACCGATCCTACTTTAATCAATGCTATCTTAAACTTTTGGCCTCGCGTTCATTAGAACCCGACTGTAGATGAAGTTCAATATATACTTCTATGTGTCTCGTAAGTGACAAAATCTACAATCCATGCAGATTAAAATGGAATAACTAATTTACAGAACTTGGTTTAACATCATGTTACCTTCCGTAGCATGGTGTTCTCATTGATCATAGTTGAGATACACTCTTGTACAATAGCACTTTTGTCTTGCAACTCTTTAGCTTTTTGATTACTATAACATTCTCGGTAAGTAGGTAAGATATCACGTTACTTCTTAAATCTTATTTTAAATGAATGAATAAGAATTATAAAATAATAAAAAAATGTGAGATTCTAAAGCAGCGGTCATAAAAAATATCTTTAAAATTTAATTATACATTAAATAATATGGCAAGTTCACTAGTACGTTTGAAATATATTATATTACATCATCATTTAAACTGAAAGAAAACATTTCTACTCTATCAGGGTAGAAAACTAAAGTCACTCCACGAGTACACAAAATCATTATGAACTCCGTACGGTCCTCAAAGTTTTTAATCATGGTGCTCCATCCTATTCTAAAGATATACATACTTGTATGTAGTGGCGGACCCACACTATTGCAAGTGTGGGCACTTGCAGACATAAGTTTTTATGGGAAATTTTTTTTTGCAAAGGATTAAAGGGTGATTTGAACAGCTCATAATATAAAATATGCCAAGCTTAAAATTAGTGTTAAGGACACATGAAAAAGTTAGGTAGTGTGCTGTTAGAAATGTCTAGGGATGCACCTTTTACGTATAAAGTTAGCTTTACAACCAAAAATATTGAAACTTATTGGAGTTTCTATGAAATGTTGTACAGCTCCTAATGTAAAATATCTAGCTTAATTGATTCTTGATTATTATTTTTTTATGTTAATTGAAGTTTTTTTTTATTGTTTATATTTTTTTGTTTTTTAATGCATTTAAAAAATTTAAAAAAAAAATCAACGCCACTAAATGTGTAGATATAAATAAATTTTTTTGGATCCGCCACTGCTTGTATGCTTACTCTCTGGAAAGGTTAGCATAAACATAAACACGCGTGAGTTAAATCTCAGTAATATTGGGGTTTTGTAGTATTCTGTATTTTAATCGGCTTATAGTATATTTCTCTCCCAATTAATGTTGTTAAAATCGAGATCTTAAGTAAGATCGGAAGGCGATTAAAAAATCGTAAACCGTAATGTAAAAAAATCGTAAGAACGTGAAAGCGTTTGGAATATTAGTAAAATCATTTTGATGAAAAAAAATCATAAAAACATAAAATCATAATGATAAATCGATATTTTAACAACAATGCTCCCAATGACTCCATTGTATATTATTTTCTTCTTCTTCAGTTCTTCATTATGCTGAAAGCGTATAAAAAAAAAAGACTAAAGGGAAAGTCATGATTGATAAAACAGAAACCTTTGTTCTCAATTATATTTATCAAAATTAAAAGAATATTTAACTCCTACAATATGAGTCTTAAGCATCATTTTATTGACTAATTATAAGTCAATTTAAAATTTAAAATCCTAAAATAAGGAAAAATTTTAAAATTAAATGTAATGATAGCTACCTCCAAAAATAAAGATAATTAATTATAACTAAATCATTCAAAATACATCTCAAATCTTAGATCTCAAATCATGCCAAATTTATTATTTTTCTCTTTTTGCTGAACAAATTACAATCAAATATGATGCTAGATTTAGATTTGGTTGTAATCTGTTGGATTTCAAATTGTTACTTGTTTGAACATGCAAGTAATGCTTAATGAGCTACAATTTTGTTTTACTACAAACTTCTTGAATTAATAAATTAATTAGTTGAGTCATGTATAATAAGTCAACTATAAGTGCATCATCCTCTCTAATTAAGACAAGATTTGCCCTCAAATCTGCTTTATTTTCATTGATATCATTCTTTTTAGATGGCAACTCAAATGACTACTCTTCCTTTAATGGATATTTATCATATGATTCTCCATCAGATTTATGATAACTTGAATGATTATCATAGACTGTATTATCATCATAAATTGGATAATAATCATAATATAAAGACCCACCAATTCAACCCAAAAACGTAAGTTGTTGGGTGAGGTTACATTAATAATTTTATATATCTTTAACACATAAATTGGATTATATCATGGATTGGATAAACATCATAAACAACATTATGTTCATAGACTTTAAAGTAAAAAATGTGTCATGAAATTATATCACGGATAATAATCATAAATTGTATTATATCATAATTGAATAATGATCATAAATTGAATTATATCATAGATTGGATAATCATTATAAACAAAATTATGTTCATTGACTTCAAAGTCAAAAATGTGACGTGGAATTATTCCAACTTAATGTAATCTCCAGTTTGAGTCTTGAACATATAGCCGTGTTCAAATTCAATCAGAAAAATTTTAACACCCTTATGGTCGTGCTTGACTCGACTGAATAGTCGATAAAAGAAATCTAGCCAATTAGTTCTCAAAATGAAAGAGTTCAAGTTATTTCAAAAATAAATCGTGAGCCCGACCCTGCTTATAAATATTGTTTCCTTTAATTAGACTTGGAAACATAAAAGATATTATTAGAATATTAGTTTTATTCCTTTACTATTTTCTTTTCTTTTTTATTATTATCCTACATTTACACGTCAGAGAGTTTGTTGTAACAAACTTGCCTTGCTTTATTTTGCCTTGATACTCTTGTATATAGATGGTTACTGTTTAGCAAAACAGACAGATGAATGAATACACGAGAATATTTTTCAGTCATGATTTTCTTTCCCTCTTCTTCTTCTATCTTTACTAATATGGTATTAGATGGAATTTAGCCCTTGCTGTTGTCATGGCTCGTGGCTCAAATAATAACACCAATCGAGCAGCCACCTCATCGTCCACCGTTTCTACTCCTCCTTCCATGGACGATCATTCCAGTCCGTATTTTTTGAGCAGTGGTGATCATTCTGGACTTGTTCTAGTCACCCATGTTCTTATTGGTGCTAATTTTCATTCATGGAGCAGAGCAATGATGATTGCTTTCTCTGCGAAAAACAAACTTGTGTTTGTTGATGGCTCTCTGCCTCGTCCTGCCACCAGTGATCTACTTTATTCTTCATGGAGTCGTTGCAATTCAATGGTGACTTCATGGATTTTAAATTCCGTTTCAAAAGATATCGCTGATAGTCTTCTCTACTTCTCCTCTGCATCTGAGATTTGGTCAGATCTACGCACTTGTTTTCTTCAGGCCAATGGTCCGAAAATTTTCCAGTTAAAACAACAAATTTCTTCTCTTACTCAGGGGAGTCTCGATGTCAATGGTTACTATACTCGTATCAAAGTTCTTTGGGATGAACTTCATGATTATGCTCCTACTCCGAATTGCATCTGTGGTGCTTCTCGTTCTTTTCTTGATCTTCGCCAGCAAGATCAAGCGATACAATTCTTAATGGGGCTCAATGATTCTTTCTTCTCTGTCCGAGCACAAATTCTTCTCATGGAACCTCTCCCACAGCTGAGTCGAATTTTTTCTCTTGTGCTTCAGGAAGAACGTCAACGACAGATCACCACTTCTCCACCGCTTTTACCTGACACTCCTTTACTGAACTCCGCTTCCGGTGCACCCCCATCATCTGTTTCTGGAAATCCCTCATTGGCTGCTGCTTCTTCTGGTTCGTTTCGTGGTCCTCGCCCTCACTGCACATATTGCAATGTTGCTGGTCATACAAAAGAAAAGCAAAAAAATAAAGGAATAAAACTAATATTCTAATACTCCCCTTCAAGATGGAGAGTATATGTTGAGGACTCCCATCTTGGAAAGAAAATCATGACTGAAAAATATTCTCGTGTATTCATTCATCTGTCTGTTTTGCTAAACAGTAACTATCTATATACAAGAGTATCAAGGCAAAATAAAGCAAGGCAAGTTTGTTACAACAAACTCTTTGACGTGTAAATGTAGGATAATAATAAAAAAGAAAAGAAAATAGTAAAGGAATAAAACTAATATTCTAATAGATATCAAGAAAAGAAAATGACGTTTCGTTAAGCTTTACTATTACCAAAAATGCTTCAATCACATGCAATATATACACAACCGGACAAAAGCTAAAGAGAAAATTCTAACTAAAAAAGCTTTGGAATAGAGAATTCAGAGGGTGTTTGATAAGTGAATTTTTTTGATAATGCTAAGAAAGTGATAGATGAAATTCACAAATGACATGTTTGGTATGGAGTAGGGAAAATTTGCCTAAGAAAAAAAATTTGATGGAAAAATTTTTATAGTGTAAAAATGAAGGAAAATGCCCACTTGAGAATACCACCTTGGTGGTGGTATTTTGATTTCTCCAGCAAACTCAAACTTGTAGCAATTTTACACCAAAATTTTCTCAATAACATTTCAGCCTACTAAACAACTTTTTTTTGAACTTTCCCAGAAAAATCACTTTTTCACCATTTCCCCAATAATTGTATTTACTTTCCTAGTAAAAAAAATTTCTCTTTTACCAAACCGCCTGGTAATATCTTTTATAGATCACACTATACATTATCGCTTCATTTTTTCATTGTTGGGCAGCTAGTAACCATTAATGGCAATGTGGAAGCAAAACTCAACTCAGGATTTCAACAGGGAATTTGAGGTCCATTATTGACAAAGTTGAAGCAAAAACCAACTTGTTAAACTGAGAATTCAAGGTAAAAAAAAATAAAGAGCTTGGTGTGGGTGTGGGGGGGGGGGGGGGGGGGGGGGGGGGTGTCAAGTTGTAAACTGCAATAAATGGCATGAGAACACTTCCCATCCAAAGTTTACCATCCTTCTCCTCCACTTCACTCACTGCTTTAACAACTTTTCCTTCACTGTCCTCCAATATCTGAAGGAGTTTACCTTCAGGGCTATACTTCACAATTAATGCATGCAACCTACCTCCAATTTGAAACAGGTACTGAATCTTTGTTGGTATAGGAAGCTTGAGTATGACTATCCTAATGTTTGGGTAGAGACCATTAATGTATGTGTACATATTCCTTCTACAATGAAGAGCCACCCAAAAATCACCATTTTCATTGACTCTCACATTGTCAGGATATCCAGGTAGTATGGCCATGATCTCTGAAGTCCCAGCTTTCTCTCCTTTCAGCCAGTATTTACGTAACCTACACAATAATAATGATATTAAAAAGGTAAGTCTTGCATTAACATGAGTTCTGACATAGGACTTATAACATGTTTAAGTTCAGACAAAAGTGAGTAAAAAAAGAGAAAGATTTATTACTGACTACTGTAGTTTAATTGCTATCAGACAACAATAACAACAACCAATAAACTGAATTTGCATTGTTTCCAACTTAGAAAGATCAGTTAGTGTCGGACTATGAGTAAACAAGAACTAGGGAAATGGTAACCTTATGCAGACTCTAGCATAACGCATGCTCATATACAGGTACATAGGAAAGACACTGCGCAAAAGGGAGAAATTCTTAGGCACCCCTTATTGAACATTAAATGTGCACCATTTCAACCATAGCATCAAAAATATAGTAAGTGGGAAACAGTGATGACTCACATAGTTGAAGTGGTACACATTCAATATTATAAAACAACATATTTTTCTTACTCTGACAGCACTTAAGAATTTCTCCACAAAGGGTACTGCATATAGAAAAAGTTGAAAGCTGTTATGAGATTATTAGATTCACCTGCCAATAACCCCTTCACAAAAGACAAAGAAGGAACCATCCTTGCTTAAGGAAATTCCATTTGGGAATTGAATGTTTCTCATAACAGTGGTTTCCTTAATGACAGTGTTGTATTTCAAAACCCTGCCAGTATCGTCCGCAGAAAACACCAGCTGAATGAAATTCCTGTACAAAAATTATGTCAGAACCACCAAACCAAGACAGATGAAGCAATACAATATCAGTATTTCAGAATTCTAAGCTCCAAATCTTTAAGGCAATGACTTTTCATAGACCTAACACCTGAGTTACTACATCAGATTGGGATGCTCAATGGGCTTAACTTCCCCTCAATCAAAGGATCCCATGCAAACAAAAAGCATGTTTAAGCATAGAGACCTTATATAGAAGTCAATACTCATATACTCATCCCAGCTAAAGCATTGTACTTAATAATATATCATGCACTTCCACTGAACCTACAAATGCAGGTTAGGTAGGTTATGATGATGCCCTACATACACTTCCCACAAATTCCCCAATGTGCTTCTCTATTTTTTTCATACTCCTGCTTAGACAATCAATAAGAAAATGACACCAGATCTCAATCAGTATTATTACTTGCCTATCCAGTCTTGAGCTTTGAAGCATCTTCTGAAGATGGAGAATTGTGACAGCAGCAATAAATTATATTAACACAATAATACCCCCTACATACACTAGGTCAAACAGCAACAAGCCATCTCTTAACAGTCTATGTTTTGGAAAGAAAAATAACCAAATAAATTAATTGTAGTCATTTGGATTTACTTCAATTATTGACTAGCATGAGCATAGCTTTCCCCAACCAAATCATGCTGTCACCACTCACCACTCAATGAACAAATAGTAATGTGATGCCCTTCACTGCTATAGTATAATGCATAGGAAAACAAGATTTCAACATTCCTAATTATGGCACCAGTTTTCAGTAGTGGTACATTATAACAAACAAAGCAGAGACTTTAACTTTCTTTGAATACTTCTCTTATATCCAAAATGGTGACAATTACTAGAAGTTGCAATCTCAGTATCTACTAATTAACAACAAAATCCTACCTCCTCTGATATTTAGCGCTGCTCTCAGTAAAATAAACATTCCCTTCCGTATCAATGTCAACATCATTAGTGAATCTTAGTGGCACACCTTCCGCCTCAGTTACAAGAGAAGTAGCTAAACCACCCTTGGGCCCCACTGTCATCAGACCAAAATATGCATCTGCAATGTACAAATCACCTGTTTTCTTGTCAAATCTGAGTCCCAAAGGTCTTCCACAGATATGCTCAGTATTCACATAACTAAATGGTGTCGCAGATGCTATAGGATTACATAGTTCTGACCTGTTTAAAATGGAGAGAGAAAAAAAAAAATCATTACCATTTCATCACACGGTATTGCAAACATATAGCCATAGTATATGAGGAAAAAAGTAACATTTAACCATGACTCCATTGATCCAAAATTTTAAATTCAGTAGTCACAAAACAAGCTTTAAAGAATTGTGCTCAAACTTATAAAAAGTTGAGACTATAATATGTAAAGTCCGTCAATTATGTCAGAAGGACACAGGATCTCGCAATAGTATGATAGAATATGAAGTCCAGAGTGGAAAACCAGAGTAAAAAACAAAAAGGCTTGAAGAATTGTTGGTATTCATAGTTCTATTAGCATCTTCAAAGTTCAAATAAAGAACACAATCCAGGCATCATATTAATTTATGAATGCAGTTATGATATATTAGAATTAGGTCGTTTAATTATTTACCTTTCATCCTTAATAATCTGATTTTACCATTTGATCAAAGAATTATTCATTCTACAAAATCAGCAGATAATTGCAATTTGAAACTAATTGAATGTCTCAAAACTTAAATTTGGCTAAGATCCAATGAAGTTTCTGTACATTGGAATCAATTCCCATATAAGGAAGAAACGTGGCATTTATTTGGTTAGGTTATCCAAAAATCACTGCTTAATCGCATTCCAAGCATCTTTCATATATATATATATATATCTGTGTGTGTGTGTGTTGTGGAGCTAAGGATGGACATTCGCCCCACTAAAGTTCACGTAAACCTTTGTTTGAGACCATATTTTAGACTTAATAAGTAATAAGTAATATAACATAAGTTCCCCGTCAACAGGCTCAGCCTTTGAGCTTTTGTCTTTCTTATTCCTTATGTATGCATAGAGAATTTTTCAAATTTGACTATGTATTCACCCACTAGCATCGTACCTTTCCTAATTTAATGTGAATTTTGTTTTCCACACACGCACACACATATACTTAACAAATCATCTTAAACTAAAAACTTGATTTAAATGGTCCATGCAAAAATATTGCTTTTCATGGCTTTGTTAAGGTACTTCTACTCGTTATACTTTAAATTCTAAAAGTTAACGAGTTATGCTCTAAATTCCATAACATGCTTCCAAATGTGAAAGAATGGAGAAGCATCTTTCAAATCAAAGTCCGACAATCTATTGGAATTGTGAACTTCATTTGTCTTAAGTTACCAAATTATTATCTCCAGCAATGTTAGTATGCCACCATATCAAATTCTGACCAGGACTTCAAGTGATTCCGCAGAAATATACACCAAGAATCATCCATACACTGCGCATAAAATTGTAGCTGAAATTAAAAAAGCAGATTCAATACCACCAATAGAGGTTCCACTTTTTTAGTCATATCTTATCAGCCAATCAACAATTTTTCCCTAAACAAGATTGCATTTTGTATTTACACGGAAGAATATTATTTATTGGAATAATGCAAGAGCTCAAGAAAATCAGGGCAATCATATTCTTAAGAGTTGAAAAAAGCTAAGTAAGAATGGAAAGCCAAGGATAGAATTAATCTACCTCATACATCATAAGGGAAAAGATACCAATTAAATGTGACAAACCCCGTGTAAGTGTAAAGGCAACCCAGTAAAATCCCAACAACGAGGACAAACAGAGGACTGGCCATCAAACACATTCAAATTCATCTTCTTCCAAGAGCAAAGCACAAATACCTTCGGATAAGGCAAGGAGATAACAAACAAAACCAGGGCTACATCTGACCAATAATAACATTTTCATAGTGCAGACTAATGTTGCTATACATAAAGCATAGTTCTTTAACCAATCCAAAGGCATACATACCTTTGGGTTAGCTAAGGAAAGAAAGTGTATGATACTTCTGCAATCCTCAATATGTTAAGAGGGGAAATGACTATCTACTTTGAAACAATAATAGTCTTAGTTCACAGCCAGCTTCCACAGACCTGTCCTCAAGATCATTGAAAAGATCAAGAGACAAGAAACACCATCCATAAGGATATAGAAAGATTGAGAATGTACATGTTATATTATACTATCTAGTCTTCAAGATGAGCATAGTTCCTTTTCTAGAATCTGTTCCACCTCCCAGGGAATAGTAGACATTGGATCCTGAATAGAAGACGAGAAAAAATTATCTATTCAGTGCAGAGCTAACCAATTAGAGATACTATAAAGGATATAGTACTACCATAAAACTAAAATCCAAACCTTTTATAGAACTCTCAGTACATTTGAACAGTTATTTTTCTCTTTTCAGAGAAGTAATATAATGGATTTTTTTTTTTTTCATAATACCATAAGAAGTTAGATTTGACATGCAAATAAAATATGTGTATGATAACATTATCATAGCAGCAGGAAAACCATAACAAAAATATAGGGAAGTGAAAATGAACATGTTTGTATTTTGTTTTTATCACTCATGGTAAAATGAGTTAAGGTTTAGAGAAGTGAACATTGAACAGTCACACCAATCTTAGCTTGGTTTCTAATATATCAAACCTGATACAATTGTAGATAACAAGTCTGAACTCAATCTTTAAGACACTATCTAGACAACAATGACTAAGAACACTGCATTATCACATAAACCAAGCAAAGGCAGCACCACAGGGGTGATGTAAGTTCAACATATAAATATAAGATACTTAGAGCATAGTAATTCAAAACAAGATTCTTCAAGCAATCTAGGAAAATAAAACAAGAAAAAAAAAGTGAGAGTTACATGAAACTTATCTCACCAAATTCTCTACCTTTAGCAGGCCTTTATTGATCATTTCACGAAGAAGCTTCTCTGCCTTTTCTTTCTCATTTTTATTTAGAAGAGCACGAATAATTGTTTCGTAAGTTACAGCATCAGGCAGGCAATCATTGACTTTCATTTTCGAAAATAAAGCTGTTGCTTCATCAATCAAGCCGTGTTTACACAATCCATTGATCATAATAGTATAAGTCCAAACATCTAGATTATAGCCATTGATCAAAAGATGATGAAAAAACTCTTCTGCAGTCTTTACTCTTCCCCCTTTGCACAAACCATTCAGAAGAATAGTGTACACATACATATTTGGACGTATTCCTTTGTTAATAATTTGCTTAAATAATGCAATTGCCTCATCAAGGTGTTGGGCTTTGCATAGAGCATCTAACAAGATACAGTAAGTAATTAAGTTAAGGGCTTGACCATTTTGATGCATCTCATCTAAAATATCTTGCACACATGTTATTCTCCCAGATTTGCACAAGCCATCGATAAGAGAATTGTATGTTACACTATTTGGAAATAAATTCTTATGACGCATTTCTTTAAAGAGAGTTACAGCTTCATCCACCATTTTATTTTTGCAACATCCATTAATCATAATGGTATAACTATTAACATCTGGTGTCAAACCTATTTTGTCCATATCATCAAATAGCTTTGTTGCTTCACTCACTTTTTTGATTAAAAAGTATACATCCATCAAAGCATTGTGGGTGACAACATCAGGCTTAGGACCTCTTTCCAACATCATATCAAATATCTTTTGGGCTTCTATCATTCTTCCTTCTTTACATAATGCATCAATCAAAATGCTTAGGGTATATACATCCGGGTTGATGTTTTGTTGAACCATTTCATTCAGCAATCGAGTTGCTTCTTTGGATTGACCGACACAGCAGAAACCATGAATTAGAGAATTGTACGTGACTACATTTGGAGAAATTCCCTGGGCAATCGCCTAAGAAAATAAACTGTTTGCCTCATTTACAAGCCCATCTTTGCATAATCCATCAATGATGGTACTATACATGACTAGATCGGGCCTAACATGTAGCCGCTCTAGCTTTTGCAGCAACTCAATAGCAGCTCTTACTTCTCCCATTTTACATAACCCATTGATCAATGTCCCATAACTAACCTCATTAAGCAGAAACCCTAATGCTCTTACCCTGTCATGAAATTCCAACGCTTCCCTAATCTTTCCATTTAGACAGAGTCCTTTCATGAGGGTATTCAAAGTTATGGTATCCATTTCGTAACCCATCCATCTTGATAATCTTACCCAATACAATAACAATTGATTAAGATGCTCAAACTAAAAATGGAAGGAGTGATTCCGTTAGACTCCATAAGAGCAAAGAGTGAAAGAGCAGTTGGGTATGCTTTCATCTTAACAATAGATCCCAAAATCTTATTAAATTCAATAACGGATGGAGGATGAGGCTTAGCGAGAGCGGACATGAAAGAGGAGACAGCATCATCAATGTTACGAAACCCACAAGAAGTGGAATGAGAATATAACCTAAAAACCATAGAAGCAGTGGAAGAGTAGGTGCATCTCAAAGAGAAGAGGAATTTAGAAAGAGCATACCTCGTTGTCGTATTCAACATCGTGGAGTGTTCTGTTAAGGTTAATGTTCGATGGGTTCCTCTTCTCTAGCTTCTTCTTACCCAAAGTTGAGAATCTCCGTAGGTCACACTCTTTTGGATAAAAAATGAATGGATAATTTTTTTTTTTTTGGAAAAAATGTTTCTCATTTATAAAATAATTTTGTTTCATTTTAAATCCTAATCGTTGATTTCCATCAATCAACGGTTAGGATTTATTTAATCAAACTTATTAATTAATTAGTAATTTACAATAAAATTCAATAAATTATAACCGTTGATTAACAGAAATGAATGGTTAGGATCTAAAATGACATAAAGTTATATTATTTAAAAAGACAAACGTTTTTTCCATTTTTTTAATGGACATATGAATAATATTAGCCAAAATAATTTTTCTCTCAAACGATACAAGTTGTATCATTTTAACTTGGTATTCCCCAAATTATATAATTATAATTTATAATGTTAAAATTATATTTTTTTTCTCTCTTCAGAATCGATCGTTTGACGTAGAAAGTGAAAAAAATACAACTTGTTATCAAAAAAAAAAAATACAACTTTAATATTATAATTATATACTATCCGGAATACATATTTATAAGCAATTAAAAAAAACACAACTTCATCATCATCTATCAACTAGGAGCTTCTTGGCAAACTTTAGATTGTGTCCTCCTAGTTGTCCTATTTGTAATTTTCACGAGGAATCTATTATTCATATGGCACGTGAGTGTCCAAAGATTAAAAAA